TTCTAGTGATACTAACCAAGTCAGAATTGAACAACTAGAAAGAAATCGGAGTTGGTTTCTATAAAATGAATTTCACATCAAACTACTCTGAAATGCTTTGTTTACATCTCAGTGACTAAACTGTAGTGAAATTTTGGTGGACTGTCCCTTAACATTTAAAAAACTATCAAAATGACATCTTCTGACAACATCTTTTCAACTTTTCAATTCAGTGCTTCCTCAGCTTAGACAATAAGGCATTCTAATTCACTGTTGTTAGTTATATAGACTGAGCACATCGGGGACTCACTTTGAAGTTATCTGAACAAGGCGTAGAAAATTCACAGGCTGTACTTTGCATTGGTTGGTTGATGCTATTGTTAAACATGTCACATCTCTTTTTTTGTACACACATGATGTTAATGGGCTAATTCTCCCTGTTGCTGAGTTTTGTATGTTAATTTTCTTGTTCAGACAGGACCTTATTCTAATATTTCAGTAGTGGAATTTAGAGAAGGAGAAAAGTGGATATATTTAAGGTGCAACAAATATAACTATCATGAGTTCTGCATCTAATTTCTGTACAGTTACACTTCAGAACTTAAATTAAGTCTAGTTGTGCACACCACATGCAATTCCCCATCGTTCCAGTGCAGTATCTTTGCTTGTTTGATTTGGAATGAGAGCATGCATGTATTTGAAACACACTACCCCTAATTCCTCTGTGATGGCACCGTAGAGGATACTGAGGCTACTGCTCCCTACAACATATGTAAAGTTCTAAGTGGGTCAGACGTTAAAGAAACATGGGAAGCTCTTTCTGTTGTGTCGGCCAAACTCACAGTCAGTACACTGCTGTCAAACCCACAGGAGACGAAAATCGAGCTGAGCACCGCAAGGGAGAAAAGCTAATGATGTCACTAAGTAGGCTTGAGTACAAAAAAAATTTAAAAAGGATCTTTGCTTCTCTTCTGAATTGAAATATAGCATTCTTTTGCCACAGCCTTGAAGAGTTTTATCCCAAAATGCTTTATATCTATTTGTAACCATTTTGGACATAAAGAGGTTTGAAAAGACTAACTGATCTAAATGCAGTTTTATTTCTCTAAAAAAGGTGGTATTAATCATAATATAGCATGTATACTTAATTTATGCATAAAGCCCACTCGCAACAACATACATTATTAAAAAAGAAAATTAAAGGGTACATATCTTACATTTTTCTTGCAATAGATTTTTTTTCCCCTGAATTCCAATTATGATATTTTCATTGCTTTATGCACCATGCCTAATTATTTTTACATGACCTGAGACTGTTTTTATTACTGTTTCTTTGAGATAGATATACGTAAATGACCCCTATTCTGATTGGCCGCCCTCTTTTTGGCCTCATTCAAAAAAGCAGTCCAGGCTGAAACACTTCTAACTTCAGAGTGAATGGGCAAGGCTAAATTGCTGTAGACTGAATATGCAGGTAAATGTCAATATATTGGCTTTTATGACATCAGAAAAGTAGTAAATTCAATTCATAAAAATATTTCTGTCTGAAAGAACAAATACACTCTTAAAGATAAATGCCAAAGCAGGTCAGGTTCTGCCAAATGCCAAATAAGGACCACTTTTGGTTCCCCAAGGAGCCTTTTAGTGTTTCAGTGTTTACAGTTTAGTTTTTAAATAACCATCCACTGAAAAGTTCCTTAGGGAGCCAAAAGTAATTTTTCTTTGGTATTGCTACAAAGAACCCTTTGTGGTACCTTTGTTTTTAAGGGCGTAGTACAAATATTTCAAAAATATGAAATTTCAAGGCAAAAGTGTCATTGATCAAAATATTTGCAGTTGATTAAAATAATCTGCAAATTATCCAAATTTACTAACACATGTATCAAGGCAATAGTGAATATGACAGTTTGATTCAAATAAGCATGTCATCTTTATTTAGTAAGTAAAGCTTGACATTGAATGCCCTTATTTTACTTAACTACATCTGAGGGAGAGCAATAGTAGTAATGAGTGTTTACATTTGAGTGGGGGCGGCGGCAGTAGCACGTGCTTGGCATTAGCTCAGAATGTGCTGTGGAGATGGAAGCACCCTAGGGGAGCCCCCAGCACCTACAGAGTCATCATCTGGCAGGCGGGAGCATGTTGGGCTGGACCTTAAATGGCCGTTTCACATTTTAGGGAGTCTAGAGCACAAAAGAGTTGACACTTGACGCTGTAATTGAATTCTCATGCTTTGGGCGCAGCTTGGCAAAGGACATTTCGAGGCTATTTGATCACATGTGCAGACACTGGTGATCAGTGAGAACATGGCAGGCAGACGATCAGTGCGTAGCCCAATAAGATCTAAAGAATCTAGGGCTCCTTTATAAGAGATCAAACACATAAGGTATAATTTACAGCTGTTGATCTTTTTATGTAAGTATAGATTTAAAAATCACTAAAATGTTCAAAGCATGAATAAAAATACAAAGATCACCTTCATCCATAACTACTGTTGTATAGAATGCCCTCTCACTCAGGATTTGCACTCAGTGATTAAACACATTGGGGTAATAATAGTAAAATGCAGCCAGGAGCATAAGATTATACTAGATTATTTTGCAAGCAATAAGTATACTTGTATCTACTTTACTACTACTTCAAATGATCTTTAACACTTATCTGCAATGTTGCTGCATTTGTATCCCTTTAGAAATAAATCTTATGTTTCTTTGTAATACTTCTCCAGGTGGATTCAGTTCCAATTTCTACATTTTATAAATGTTTATTGGCATCAGCAATGCATACATTTAAAAATATAGGATATTAGCATCGCCCCCAATTCCCATTAGTGCATCCTGTCTACTGCTTTGTTTAACTGAGGCAAAAAATGAAACATTAGGCTTCTCTAGTCCTTTATAACACCTTGTAAACAGTGTGCGAACATTGCAGTTAGCTTTCTTGAAGGTGGCTAAGCTGTACTCTAGGGATGGAGCATAAATATAAAAACACATTGAGACACAGTGAGGAAATTATTTAAAGCTTGGCTCAAAAGTGGTTTAATCAATATTGCTGTTTAGGTGCAGCTAAACAAAACAACATTCCAGGACACTTGGCAATTTATTTTACAAGGCCTTATGCTTGTGTTATACTATGTACATATTTAGATTTGGTTGTTACCAATTTAATAATAAAACTCTGCTGTCTGAAATGACAAGCAAAAAAAAGTTAGTTTTGGTAGAATAAATTTACCCAACAAAGAGGTATTCCTGTCTCCTGTGAACCAACACCTAACTTATATAACACCTTCAGAATGCAGGTGGCTAAATCAGACAAAAATGATGAAATGTGTCATTCAGACACAGAACACAGTGGAGCACAGGAAGTGGGTGCCTCATCTGAACAAAACCATCATTAGCTTCACAAAACATCTGGATTCAGTTGACTGTAGAATTTAGTGGAGTGAGTCTGACTGATTGCTCAGAATACTTATGAAATAGAAAGCAATGAATTCCACCATGTCATATGTTTATAATGCATTCTGGTCTACAGCTTACTCCCTGATGTAGGTGTATGGGTTGTTACAAGCATTTTCAAAGGCCTAACATCTAAAATTGAATCACTCAGCTTATATTTAAGTGTTTGTAAAAACAGTAGAGCCAGACGTATTGATTTTTCAGTTTTATTTTCCTGCGTGTAGCGTATAAACAAGTGGTGGTATGGTTCATTTTGGCTGTTATTAAGAAAAGAAGAATTAATTATATTCTGTTGTTCTGTTGTGGTATTGCTGCAGGAAAAACATTGGGTTTGTTTAAACTGCCAGACGCAAAGAGCGCTAAAAGGAGTAGAACCACAAGGACCTCCAACACTGAAACCCCAACCACAGCCCAGTGAAGCCACAACACAAAAGAAGGATTCCACTGCAGGTCAAACACATAAACAGTCCACAGCCCAACCTACAAAACCTAGTTCTGCCGACCAGACAGTTACTCCGAAAGAAACACTTAAACAACAGCCCAGTTCAACAGGAGCAAACCCACTGAATAAGCAGAAGCCTCCTGATCAGCAGACAACAAAAAGTGGCCCTCAAACTGCCAAGTCTGAACCATCATCAAAGGAAGAACCTCATCATGATGAGTCAAGTTTCTTTGGTTTTGGTTTTGGTGGTGCACGATCTCGATCACCATCTCCTCAGCCTGCTGTCTCTGCTGTTTCTGGGAAGGTCTTAGGCTTTGGTTCCTCCTTGTTCAGCTCAGCATCTAATCTGATCTCCTCAGCTGTTCAGGATGAGCCTTCCACCACACCAACAACCTCTCGTAAAGGGTCTACAGTGTCCCAAAGCTCTGCCAATACAACCAGTACACCTCCTGCATCACACAAAGTGTCCTCAACAGGGACAGAGACTAAACAACCAACTGCACAGAAAGAGAAGACAGACAGACAGTTAAATGATCAGAAGGCCAAGGCACCTTTATCTCAGTCAAAGATGCCAGAACTCTCCTCACATATGCCAAAAGTAGATAAAGATGCTCACTCTCTCCCTAAAGCTTGCCCACTCTGCAAAGCTGAGCTTAAGAAGGATCCTCCCAACTACAATATCTGCACTGAATGCAAAAAGACTGTTTGTAACCTTTGTGGATTCAACCCGATGCCTCACCAAACAGAGGTAATATTAACTGATACAATTCTATGAATGTTATGCTTTTCCTTAAAGTCATAAACAGGAATTTGCAAATCTCTTTCGTTTACACCATAGATGTGATATATTCTCATTTATTCTCGTAGACATTGTTTTGGTTTTACAGCTTCAGTGTAAGCTAAAGTAACAGAGGTTTTGCAATCTTGGCTTATGGCTTTAATGATTGTTTTGTAAAATGTGCAAGTCTTTGATAAATCATTGTTCAATTGTATTATTTTGACAAAAATATGTTGATTTAACCATATTTTAAGCTTTTTTTTCATTAAAATTCTAACATATTTTTCAGGTACTAGAATGGCTTTGCTTGAACTGTCAGACCCAGAGAGCCCTTGGTGATGAATTAATGATTCCCCCAAAGAATCCTGGCCCACCACAGTCTTTAGGAAAGGGGGATAAGGCTCCTTCATCACAACAGATCGGAGCTTCTGTAGTGGACTCTACAAAGAAAACAGCTAATCCTAAAGCAACAGCTCCACAGGAAGACAAGAAAGTTGATGTCGTTCAGAAATTACAAGACCAGCAAACTAAGGCACTGAATGGAACACCCCCTGTACACAAACCTCAGTGGCAAGAAACTGACAAACCCCATGTGGACAGTCAAAGACAGCCAAAGACAGTCAAATCAGAAACCCAGGAGGAGTCAGGATTTTTTGGCTTTGGTTTTGGTGGTGCTCGATCTCGATCGCCGTCTCCTCAGCCTGCTGTCTCTGCTGTTTCTGGGAAAGTTCTAGGCTTTGGCTCTTCCTTCTTCAGCTCAGCATCTAATCTGATCTCATCAGCTGTTCAGGATGAGCCTTCCACAGTGCCACCAACTTCTCGTAAGGGTTCATCAGTCTCCCAGACATCACCCAAAATAACACCACCCACTTCCCGCAAGGTTTCCTCAGTTTCACAGACATCTCACAAGCCTGGATCTCCAGCCTCCACGCCAGCTGCTTCCCGCAAAGGGTCTGAAGCTTCCCAGGATGTAATGAGAATGCCATATTCAAAAGAGACCAAACCACCCTCTGATCAACAGTCAGGAGAAAAGAAAGCCCAGCAAGTACAGCCATCCAAAACTCCATCCACACAAGCAAACAGGGATCAACCATTGATAGAGTCTGCAGCAGTTGAGAAGTCAGCTCAGCATCTTCCTAAAACCTGTCCACTTTGCAAAGCAGAGATCAAAAAAGACTCTCCTAACTACAGCATGTGCACTGAATGCAAGAGCACTGTATGCAATCTCTGTGGATTCAATCCTATGCCACATCAAACAGGGGTAAATATGTTTTAATAATTTACAGAGGGACACAGTACTGTGTAAAAGTCAGAGACCACCCTTCAATTCATTTAATCTCCAGTCAAGACTGCCATTAAGTACAGGCTATTCATTTTATCAGCATCAGGAAAAAACAGAAAACTTATATTTAATAGAAAATTAAACAGAAGCCTCAACAACTAAATATAATTTTTTTCTCAGTGTTCAGTGTGTCCACCTTTTGCCTTTATTACAGTGTCCGAACTTACTTTCTTTTGGTTCATTTCCTTTAAGCAATAGAATGCACAAAAGTATAAAAAGGCCAACTTGAATACTGATAGATTTTATATTATACGTAGTGTTAGCTTTTGTGTATTTTTTGTTAAATATATGTTTACCTTTCATTCCAGACCATGAAAAATGATTGACTTGTATTTAATGGCCGTTTTAACTGGACATTGAATAAATGACAGGGTAGTCGCTGACATTGGAATAGTATGTATGTTGAATTAACTGTATAAATATTATACCAGAGCCTTTCTGTGGTTACATGTCACTTTTGTTAAACAGAAAAAAATCACTAACAACACCACAGTTATCAGTATTATGTTCTTGTAGTTCTCAGAACCAATTTATTATAAGAACCTCATATATATCATATATTCTAAATATATGTATTCATGCAAGGCCTGTTAACAATTAATCAATTTGGTTTAACTGCAGGTAAAGGAGTGGCTTTGCCTGAAATGCCAGACACAGCGAGCGTCAGAAGCATTATCTGTACAGTCTCAACAACAGGCTAAGAAAATTCCTCCACCATCTCCTCAACAAAAGAAGGCTGCTACATCAGAAGGCCCTCAGAAGAAAGAAGAAGGTCTTCCTGATGAAACCATTAAAAAAGGCCAGAAAACTGCTGCTGTAAAAAAAACAGCAGACACATATGCTGTAATACAGGAGAAGCAGCTGAATCCTACTCCCACACAACAGCCCAATCAGCAGCTGCCAATTAAACAACAGGATGCTGAAAAGCCTCAAAGTCAGACATCGAAAAATGGGCCCTCTCCTGCTAAAGCTGACCCTTCTCAAGAAAGCTCAGGCTTTTTTGGCTTTGGTGGTGCTCGATCTCGATCACCATCTCCTCAGCCTGCTGTCTCTGCTGTTTCTGGGAAGGTTCTAGGTTTTGGCTCCTCTTTGTTCAGCTCAGCATCTAATCTGATCTCATCAGCCGTTCAGGACGAGCCTTCTACAACACCACCAACTTCTCGTAAAGGTTCACAGGTCTCTCAGAGCTCCATTAAGACAACCACCCCACCTTCCTCCCGCAAAGGCTCTGGAGTTTCTCAGACATCTCTCAAAACCACCATACCACCCCCGACTTCACAGAAGGGATCTGAAACATCTGAAGACTCTCAGAAAAAACAAACAGGTCATATTAAATCACAGACTAAACAGAACCAAGAAGACATTACACATGAGAAGACAAAACCAGTAATCCATCAGGGAAAAGAGTCCTCTCAAGGAGCTGAATCCAAGCCAGAGCTATCAAAATTGAAGGAATCCTCTCAGCTTATTCCCAAAGACTGTCCGCTCTGCAAGCTGGAGATCAAGAAGGAACCTTCCAACTACAACACATGCACTCATTGCAAAAACATCGTGTGCATACAGTGTGGATTCAATCCCACTCCACACCAAACAGAGGTAAGAAGGCCATATATACTAAATAGTGATACACCAAAATGAAAATTCTTGGCTGAAATCCATTTTAGAACAACCTGGGTTGAAAACTGAAAACCAAAAAAGCTGACAATAATTAAAAACAGTTTACATAAAATGAACATACCAAACTTACTTATTTACAAGAAATCTAGAAAAATCTCTGCAAGGCCAAAAACCACAGCTCAATGCCTGTGGCCTTCGATCCCTCAGATGTCACTGCATTAAATGCTGGCAAGCTTCTATGATGGATATCATCACATGGGCTCGGGAACACTTTAACAAATCGTTTTCAGTAAACAGTGTTCATTGCTGTGTCTACAAATGCAAATTAAGACTGTACTGTGCACAGCAGAAGTCGTATGTCAACAATGTCTAGAAACAAAGCCGACTTCTCTGGGCTGTGTGTGAAATAGACTGATGCATAGTGGAAACATGCATTGTGATCTAACAAGAAAACCTTTCAGATTCTTGATGGAAATAATGGGCCAAAGAAGTTAAGGACCATCCTGATTGTTACCAGTGCAAGGTTTTAAAATCAGGATCTGTCATAGTATAGTGGTGTAGTAGTAACTAGCACATCTGAAAGCACCATTAACTCAAAAATGTATACACATTTTGGAGCACCAGGGGCTGCCATTTAGACGCTGTCTTTTTCTGGGATGTACATGCTTATTTCAGCATGACAACACCAAGAAATATTATAATAATACCAATAATAATTTACCAATAAACTTCTCACTTTTAAAATCTTTAACTAACAACCTGTGTTGGTTCCATAGGTGAAGGAGTGGCTCTGTTTGAACTGCCAAATGCAGCGAGCACCAGGACCTCCTCCTGCGCAGCCTAAGCTACAGGTTACAAAAGTACCGCCACCAGTATCACCCCAGAAGAAAGAGGCTTCAGCTCCAGAAAAGGATAAGAAACCAATTGCTCATGGGAAACCAGAAGACAAACAAGTTGAAGCAGACAAAAAGCAGCCTTTGAACACCCATAATACAAAACCGTCCGCTCAAGACCAGCTTCCTAAGCCCCAGCAGACAAAAGATGCCATCTCTGAACGTCCTAAAGAGGAATCAGGCTTCTTTGGCTTTGGTTTTGGTGCTCGATCTCGGTCACCATCTCCCCAGCCTGCTGTTTCTGGAAAAGTATTAGGTTTTGGATCCTCTATCCTCAGCTCAGCATCTAATCTAATATCTTCAACTGTCCAGGATGGGCCATCTACTACACCCTCAACTTCACGCAAGAATTCTACAGTTTCTCAAACATCAGAAAAGACTACACCAACACCTCCCACCTCTCGCAAAGGTTCTGAAGCTTCTCAGCCATCTTGCAAGCCCACTGCCTTACCACCTGTTTCCCATGGGGTACCTACCCAGGAATCTCAAAAGATGAATCCTAAGAACGTAACAAAACCACCAAATGAACAGAATCAAAAGGAAAACTTAGAAGAGAAGAAACCAGAGGTCAGAAAACCTTCACCAACACCAGAAACAATTGCAAAGGATACACATACAACAAAAACAGATACAACAAAAGCAGTAGAATCTACTCAGCCTCTTCCCAAAGTCTGCCCGCTTTGCAAGGTGGAAATCAAGAAGGATTCACCCAACTACAATGTCTGCACTGAGTGCAAGAATGTAGTTTGTAACCTTTGTGGATTTAACCCAGCACCTGACCAGACAGAGGTAAGGACATTTGAATGTTAATATTTATCTTCTATTATGGCTTCAGTGGGTTTTTTTTTAGTGGAAGTATTGATTCATGTTCCCTGTTGATTGATTAAACTCATACCCAACTCATGATTTGAGTCCAGTCAAGAAATGCTCTTTGTTGAAACTTCTCTGCATAGTTCCAGTAAAGAGTTCCTTACATAATGGTAGAATATTAAAATTCCCATAATGGCTCAAAGCAGAATGCATTTTATGTGAGCATATTCCTAAATCATATTCATTGTCATTACAGGTGAAAGTGTGGCTATGTCTGAATTGTCAGATGCAGCGAGCATCCGGACCTCCTAAGCCAGCTCAACCAACCAAAGCACCTTCCCCAGCATCACCACAGAAGGATGTTCAAGCTCAAGGTTCCCTGCAAAAGTCCCCTCAACCACAGGAATCAAAAGGCACTCCTCTAGAGCAAGGATCAACAGTAGATGCCACAAAGCAAGATCAGAAACTTCATGTTGCTGGGAAACCAGATGATAAATCCCTTGGTGCCCAGTCCCAGAAACCCACTTCTACTCGTTCATCACCAAAGCCTTCTCCTGCAAAATCTCCTCCACCACCAAAGGCTGAGCCTGCAAAGGAGGAGTCGGGTTTCTTTGGTTTTGGTTTTGGTGGTACACGATCTAGGTCACCATCGCCTCAAACTGCTGCTTCTGCCGTTTCTGGAAAGCTTCTAGGTTTTAGCTCATCAATCATCAGCTCTGCATCTAATCTGATTACTTCAGCTGCCCAGGATGAGCCCTCTACAACACCACCAACATCCCGTAAGGGCTCTACTGTTTCACAAACATCTATAAAGACTGCACCAACGCCACCAGATTCTCGGAAGGACTCAGTTCTGCAAACGTCTCCAAAACTTGCCTCCTCTGATGAGACAAAAGCATCTGCTACTCAGAAAAAGGAAGAAAAGAAACCTGCAGATGAAGCACAAAAGGCTCAGTCTGCCAAAGCACCATCTGCTCCAGTGAAAGGGGATGAAAATTCATCAAAACTTCCAAAAATGTGTCCACTTTGCAAGGAAAAATTCAAAGAACACCCTCCAAACTATAACACTTGCACTTCCTGCAAAGCCACTGTGTGTAACCTGTGTGGATTCAACCCCATGCCACATCAAACAGAAGTAAGAGAATTATTAATGATATTAATAATAATAATAGTAGTAGTTGTAGTAGTAGTAGTAGTAGTATTTTTCAATAATATAAAATTGACAATATTATGTGGTGTCAAACTGCTGTAGTGATTTTTCTTTCCTTTGTCATATGAAATGATGCACCATATTCTCATTTTCTAGCCTAAGCCTTAGGCTAAGTAGTATTTTTCCTGTTCTTACAATGCCTTACTACCATTAGTTTTTTGTGCCCCACAGGTAAAGGAATGGCTGTGTTTGAATTGTCAAATGCAACAAGCACCAGGACCCCTCCCTGCACAACAAGACGCGAACAAAGTATCTCTACCAGCACCAAAGAAAGAGGCTCCAACTGCAGGTCCTACACAGAAAGCAAGCCCCTCAGGAGGTGCCACAGAGAAAGATCAGAAACCTGCTGCATCAGAAAAACCAGATGCCAAACCGATTTCTGCAGAACCCCAGAAACCCACTACTGCTTCTGCAGAACAGAAGCCCTCCATTGCCGAATCTGTTCCACCACAAAAACCTGAACTTACCGAAGAGCAGTCTGGCTTCTTTGGTTTCGGCTTTGGTGGAGCACGATCTCGATCACCATCTCCTCACTCTGCTGCCTCTGCTGTTTCCGGGAAGGTTCTGGGCTTTGGTTCGTCCTTCCTTAGCTCTGCATCTAATCTGATCTCATCAGCCGTTCAGGATGAGTCTTCTACTACACCACCAACGTCTCGTAAGGGTTCTACAATTTCTCAAAATCCTGAAAAAAATGTTCCAACGCCACCTTCTTCTCGAAAGGCATCTGTAGCACAGAAGCAAGAAGAAAAGAAAGAAGCAGAAAATAAATCAGAAGACCATGTGGCAAAGGCTCCAGTTTCTCTCATGAAGAAGGATACACCTCCCTTAGAGATTCCCAAAGCTTGTCCACTCTGCATGGTGGACCTCAAGAAGGATCCACCCAACTATAACACGTGTACTGAATGTAACAACACTGTGTGTAACCTTTGTGGATTCAGCACTATTCCACAGAAAACTGAGGTAAGAGGCAATACTTAGCACAAAAATCTTTAAGGTTGTCTTTTTGTGAAGAGACTTAAAAAGTTAGGTAAGTCAGATATAAGTTATATAATTATATATGGTTATATAAAAGTTATATATTGTTTTAATCTAATAAAAATAAATAACAATAATAAAGAAAGTATCAAACAGCCATGTGTCTTGAGCATTTTAGGCAAAACAAGGCAAGTTTATTTATATAATAGTGTATCTGTTTACTGCTTTGATTTCTAATCTGTTTGCTTCTTTATATAATATAGTAATTAATGTTTTTAAATAGGTGTAGGAAAAAACCTAGCATGTAGGATAATCACATACTGATATCATAATATCCTATTTGTATTAAAGCCACAATCAAAATCTTAAGAAAAACCATGAATCGTTAGGGTTACGGACAACTAGGCATTTGTTACTGTTAAAGAAAAAGGAATTTGTACCATATTTAGAAATTAACACATTTGTTTCATATTATGAAATTATGAAACATGTCAAAATTGTCTCTTTTTTGGCAAAGTTTAACTAGTCAAGATACTTTGTTTTGCAAATTTTGTACTAATACTCAAGTAACTGTCAGTATTTTCACCAATACTCTCTTTCATGGCGGCACAGGTGAAGGAGTGGCTGTGTTTGAACTGCCAGATGAAGAGAGCACCAGGACCTCCTCCTGCACAGCCACAACCACTGGCTAACAAAGTGTCTCCACCAGCATCACCACAGAAGAAGGAAGCTCCAACTCCAGGTGTTCCACAGAAAAAGCAAAGTCTTCCAGTAGATGCTACAAAAACAGATCAGAGGCCAACTGTGACTGAGAAACCAGAAGACAAAACTATTCCAGTGGAGAAATCCACTGCTGTTCCCTCAACACAACAGCCTGCTCCAGAGGGTCAGAAAGCACCAGAACAGTCTATCTCAATTACAGCAAAACAAGCCAGTACTACTGCAACACCTTCACAACAAAAACCATCCCAACAACAGACAGCAAAAGGTGGCCCGTCCCCTGCCAAGTCTGAACCACCTCCAAAAGCTGAACCTCCAAAGGAGGAATCAGGTTTCTTTGGTTTTGGTGGTGCTCGATCTCGGTCACCGTCTCCTCAGACTGCTGTTTCTGCTGTTTCCGGAAAGGTTCTAGGTTTTGGATCTTCTTTTCTCAGCTCTGCATCTAATTTGATCTCATCAGCTGTTCAGGATGAACCTTCCACCACACCTCCAACCTCTCGGAAAGGTTCTACAATATCTCAAAGTTCTGTAAAAAATGCTCCGACACCACCTCCCTCCCGAAAGGGATCTGTAGCACAGAAAAATGAGGAAAAGAAAGAACCACAACATAAATCCGAAGAGCAGTTGACAAAGGCACCAGTTTCTCAAATGAAAAAGGATGAGCCTCCCTCAGAGCCTCTTGGAGATTGTCCACTCTGCAAGGTTCAGTTTAAGAAGGATCCATCTAACCATAACACCTGCACAGAATGCAAGAACACTGTGTGTAATCTTTGTGGATTCAGCCCTATGCCACAACAAACTGAGGTAAGACACCATATTTAGCATAAAGGTACTTGCTGTAACAGATTTTTCCTGCGACAGGTAATTAGTGATGGACATTTTTGGGGGTTCATTTTAATATATATATATATACAGTTGATGTTTCATCTCTTGTTACACGTAGAGTGCTTCATTAAGAGTGGTGGTGTTGTGCATTCTATTTGTGACTTACAATGAGGGTGAAGAGCTAACACAGCTGACTAACCTTGGAAAAAATAAGGGAAAGCTTATTTATTGTCACAGTATCTGCCTTTGCAATACTGTTGTTGTAGATGATTGCAATATGCATGTTTTAAGGACATTTTTATGAATTGAACCATTCATATGATCCAACAAACAGAAATAATTTTGGTTACAATTATGTAAGCCAGTCATTATTTGTGCCCTAATAAAGAGTTTTTAATGTATAACAAGTCATTTAAGAATTGTAATGTGGTATTCTGTCCATATCATGTAGCTCTAATGTAAATAGACACTGCCTAATGTTTTATATGAGTTATGTAATTTTTTTCTGTAATTTGTTTACAAATACATATTAGCTAACACAATGAGTGTCATACACTCTGAAATTAAAATTAAATAGATGCTGGGTGCTGTTATCATGTAGTATTACGTAAGCCCTCACTCTAACCATGATCCATTATGGAGGAGAAATATCTTAATAAAAACTAGTATTTGTCTCAGTTCAGTTTTATCACATGCTTTTAAATGTTAAGTCTATGGGGCTGATTGCCTTTTAGGTTTCACTCAGTTCTTCCACCTAATGTCATTTTTGACATTATTCTATTATATCTGATTAGATGCTTGTACAGCAGGTCTTACTATGTTGTCTACTTCCTTACACTGAGCAACTTAATACATGAATTATTCGATCCATTCTCAGTTTTTTTTTACCAGTACTCTCTTTAATGGCTGCACAGGTGAAGGAGTGGCTATGTTTGAACTGTCAGATAAAGAGAGCACCAGGACCTCCTCCTGCACAGCCTCAATCACAGGCTGACAAATTACCTCCACCAGTATCACCACAGAAGAAGGAGGCTCCAACTCCAGGTGTTCCACAAAAGAAGCCAAGTCTTCCAGTTGATGCAACAATGAAAGATCAGAAACCACCTACAGCTGGGAAAAAGGAGGACAAACCTAATCCAGATGAGTCCCAGAAATCCACTGCTGTTCCCTCAACACAACAGCCTGCTCCTGCCACACCTGCTGTCCCACAAAAAGTTGAACCTCCAAAGATGGAGTCAGGTTTCTTTGGTTTTGGTGGTGCTCGATCTCGGTCACCGTCTCCTCAAGCTGCTGCTTCTGCTGTTTCCGGAAAGGTTCTAGGTTTTGGATCTTCTTTTCTTAGCTCTGCATCTAATTTGATCTCATCAGCTGTTCAGGATGAACCTTCCACCACACCTCCAACCTCTCGGAAAGATTCTACAATATCTCAAAGTTCTGTAAAAAATGCTCCGACACCACCTCGCTCCCAAAAGGGATCTGTAGCACAGAAAAACGAGGAAAAGAAAGAACCAAAACATACATCTGAAGAGCAGTTGACAAAGGCACCAGTCTTTCAAATGAAAAAGGATGAGCCTCCCTCAGAGCCTCTTGGAGATTGTCCACTCTGCAAGGTTCAGTTTAAGAAGGATCCACCTAACTATAACACCTGCACAGAATGCAAGAACACTGTGTGTAATCTTTGTGGATTCAGCCCTATGCCACAACAAACTGAGGTAAGACACCATATTTAGCATAAAGGTACTTGCTGTAACAGATTTTTCCTGCAACAGGTAATTAGTGATGGACATTTTTGGGGGTTCATTTTAATATATATATACAGTTGATGTTGCATCTCTTGTTACACGTAGAGTGCTTCATTAAGAGTGGTGGTGTTGTGCATTCTATTTGTGACTTACAATGAGGGTGAAGAGCTAACACAGCTGACTAACCTTGGAAAAAATAAGGGAAAGCTTATTTATTGTCACAGTATCTGCCTTTGCAATACAGTTGTTGTAGATGATTGCAATATGCATGTTTTAAGGACATTTTTATGAATTGAACCATTCATATGATCCAACAAACAGAAATAATTTTGGTTACAATTATGTAAGCCAGTCATTATTTGTGCCCTAATAAAGAGTTTTTAATGTATAACAAGTCATTTAAGAATTGTAATGTGGTATTCTGTCCATATCATGTAGCTCTAATGTAAATAGACACTGCCTAATGTTTTATATGAGTTATGTAATTTTTTTCTGTAATTTGTTTACAAATACATATTAGCTAACACAATGAGTGTCATACACTCTGAAATTAAAATTAAATAGATGCTGGGTGCTGTTATCATGTAGTATTACGTAAGCCCTCACTCTAACCATGATCCATTATGGAGGAGAAATATCTTAATAAAAACTAGTATTTGTCTCAGTTCAGTTTTATCACATGCTTTTAAATGTTAAGTCTATGGGTCTGATTGCCTTTTAGGTTTCACTCAGTTCTTCCACCTAATGTCATTTTTGACATTATTCTATTATATCTGATTAGACGCTTGTACAGCAGGTCTTACTATGTTGTCTACTTCCTTACACTGAGCAACTTAATACATGAATTATTTGATCCATTCTCAGTTTTTTTACCAGTACTCTCTTTAATGGCTGCACAGGTGAAGGAGTGGCTATGTTTGAACTGTCAGATAAAGAGAGCACCAGGACCTCCTCCTGCACAGCCTCAATCACAGGCTGACAAATTACCTCCACCAGTATCACCACAGAAGAAGGAGGCTCCAACTCCAGGTGTTCCACAAAAGAAGCCAAGTCTTCCAGTTGATGCAACAATGAAAGATCAGAAACCACCTACAGCTGGGAAAAAGGAGGACAAACCTAATCCAGATGAGTCCCAGAAATCCACTGCTGTTCCCTCAACACAACAGCCTGCTCCTGCCACACCTGCTGTCCCACAAAAAGTTGAACCTCCAAAGATGGAGTCAGGTTTCTTTGGTTTTGGTGGTGCTCGATCTCGGTCACCGTCTCCTCAAGCTGCTGCTTCTGCTGTTTCCGGAAAGGTTCTAGGTTTTGGATCTTCTTTTCTCAGCTCTGCATCTAATTTGATCTCATCAGCTGTCCAAGATGAGCCTTCCACCACACCTCCAACCTCACGTAAAGGTTCTACAGTTTCCGCAAAAATCACTCCAACACCACCTGCTTCTCGCAAGACATCTGTAGCACAGAAAAAAGAAGAAAAGAAAGAAATGGAAATGAAATCAGAGTACCAGTCAAAGGTGTCAACTTCTGCTGTGAAAAAAGATGAGCCCATAAAACAGTGTCCACTCTGCAAGGTGGATATCAAGAAGGATCCACCCAACTATAACACCTGCACTGAATGCAAGAATGTTGTGTGTAATCTTTGTGGGTTCAGCCCTATGCCACAAGAAACTGAGGCAAGTTATTTAACCTGAAGAGCTTCATAACAATTCTTATTTCTTGTGAATGAACCATTAACCCTGAAGAAGTAGATAATTAAATAAGATCCTTGGAACAGATTTTTTTTTAGAAAAAAAACAGACAAAAAAGCAAATCTGATTGCACATTTCTTAATTGTAAAGCCATAATGCAATCACACAATAAATGTAAGAACATCTTATCCAAAAATAAAAATAATTCAAAATAAAATATAAAAAAGCTAAATAAATAAAACAACAAATACTGATTTGCACTATATTTTTCTGCATCTTTGTTTTGTGATATATAATCAGTAACATTTATTTTATGCTACTGTGAAAATGTACATTTACATGTAATAAACTACAGTTGTTAGTACTTTCAGTATAAATCAATATAGTTAATTATTATTATTAACCACTATTTTATGCACTGACAGGTGAAGGAGTGGCTGTGTTTGAATTGCCAGATGAAGCGAGCACCAGGTGCTCCCCCTCTACAGCCTCAGCAAGAACCAACTAAAGTGCCTCCACCAGCATCACCACAGAAGAAAAAGGCTTCTCCTGTTGGGAAACTAGACACTCAAACAGACACCAAGAAACCCATTTCTACTCCCACATCACTACAGCCCTCCACTGCTGAATCCGCACCACCATCCAAATCTGAAGCTTCAAAGGAAGAGTCAAGTTTCTTTAGTTTTGGTTTTGGTGGTCCTCGTTCTCGACCACCATCTCCTCAGCCTGCTGCTTCTGCTGTTTCTGGAAAGGTTCTAGGTTTTGGGTCCTCTATCTTTAGCACAGCATCTAATCTGATCTCTTCAGCTGTTCATGATGAGGCCTCTACAACACCTCCACCTTCTCGTAAAGATTCCACAGCATCTATGAAGACACCATCTTCTCCTGCTTCTCGGAAAGGATCTGCAGAGCCTGAAAAAATCCCACAAGGTACAAAAACCAAAATTTCAGCTGAAGAGACAAAGACTTCAACTACAAAGAAAGAACAGGAGAAAAAACTAGATGAAATAGTAGCAGATGACTCTACAAAAGTGATGGCACCTTCTAAAGCACAGCATGCAGCCTGTCCAATCTGTAAGCAGGAGCTTAATGTTGACTCAAATGAAGTACCCAACTACAATACATGCACAGATTGCAAGAACACTGTGTGTAACCTCTGTGGATTTAACCCCGTTCCTCATCAGGCTGAGGTAAGATATTTGACAATTTGCTTTCTCAATATGTTTTTTTATTACTGTCTTAGGATGTTGAATCAACTGGTTCTTAAAAAAGTTTAGGAGTATGAATTGTACATTAAAAGCTATAGAGCCATGTTTTGCTCATTAAAATCTTCTTATTGTTCTGATAATACAGGTTTTTGAATGGCTTTGCCTAAACTGTCAAACACAGAGAGCATTAAAGGGAATGGAACCTCCAGTTACAAAGCCACAGGCAGAACCAGACACTCTCTCCACCTCAGTACAGCCTCCAAAAAGTGTAACACCTAAAACCAATGCTGGTGAAACCAATAAGAAGGAGCTAACTCAGGTTCAGGAACCTCCAAAAGATGTATCTGCTTCAGCTATGCTAGATGAGAATAAAGCCCCAGTTCCACCCTGTGTCCAAAAAGAGAACATTTTGATTACAGACACGAAAAAAGTAGAAGAAGCTTTACCCAAGGTTGAAGATAAAACAGCTGAGAAGAAAGAATCACAGGTTCAGGGGGTTTCAGGACAGAGGCCATCTTCTGAAACAGTGCCTGTAAAGGAGGATCAAAAGGCTGCAGGTCCTCAGAAACCTATAATTGAGCAGGAAGCTGTTGGGCAAACAGCAGATACAGGAGCAGAAAAGGGCAGAGTTCTGGAAAAACCTGAGAAACCTCAAACCAAACCTTCACCACGAGAACAAGAAACTTTGAAGCAGGAGTCAGGATTCTTTGGGTTTGGCTTTGGCAGTGCTAAATCTCAGCCTGCACCATCCAAGCCTTCTGAGACAAGCACTGGGAAGCTTTATGGTAGTTTGACAGAGACACCCTCAGCACAGTCTGTCTCTGCTGTTTCTGGGAAGGTTCTAGGTTTTGGATCCTCCATCCTCAGCTCAGCATCTAATCTGATCTCATCAGCCGTTCAGGATGAGTCTTCTACAACACCACCAAGTTCCCGTAAGGGCTCTTCAGTTTCCCAGACATCTGTCAAAACTCCCACACCACCTACATCTCGTAGAGGTTCTGCAGTTTCCCAAACCTCTGTCAAGACACCACCAACTTCTCGAAAAGGTTCTGCAGCTTCCCAGGCCTCCCTAAGAATGCCTCCTGCTAGAGATACCAAATCATCTGGTGCACAGAAGTTAGAAGAGAAAAAACCAGATCAGAAGTCAGACGTCAAATTAGATGGGACACCAGAAGCTACCAAGCCTTCTGCTCCTTTGCAGCCAGCTACTAAACCAATCCAGTCCAGCTGTCCTATTTGCAAAGTAGAGCTAAACATAGGCTCTGTGGATCCACCTAATTTCAACATCTGCACTGAATGCAAGAACAGTGTGTGCAGTCAATGTGGATTTAATCCCATGCCTGATCAGACAAAGGTGAGAAATAACCTACTCTTTATCCTCACACTACATACATACATGACACTTTGAAAATTCAGACTAAGAAAAAAATGCTTGTGCATTAATAAGCACTCACATGAATGATATTTTTTTTGTTTATCTCTGTACTTGTGCGCTCCAAGTGCACTTTAATTCCATTGACTGAGTTAGTCAAGTGCACTCAGATTACTCAAGTACATGGACAGAAAAGCAGCTTCATTTAACAGTTTAACAGTTACTAATCTATTCAGTGTGAGCAGGCACCCCTAAGCAATAAGAAGGAAACAACAAAAACTATTATTAACGGCATACTGTTGAAATAAATAAATATTGTTCATGTGAATTCAGTCTTCACACTTTTCACACTTTTGAGATTCATGCTAATTCACTGAGCTACTTGTATGGATTCTGGGTAAAGTTATATTTGCATGCAGGAACCCACAGACAGACCGTGAGCACAAAATCTGTTAAGATTTGATACCTGTCTATTGACCACATGAAGGTCTTTTTTCTATGTAAACCTTATTTGATGTTTATTTTGAACCACAACACTTTCCCCCATATTTTTGCCTTTGGTTTGCAAGATAACATACAAGAGCTTAGCCAGTGTTCATTCTTATGTAACACATATATACATATACACACAGTGCATGATAGTTGTGGATTTTGACAAAGCTATTCCAATGACCATAGAAATAAGAAGTATGGCTTGTATAAAGTTCATAAAGTATACAACTATTATAGGAAGTGAACACAGTTTTCCTCACCTGATGAACTGTAGTAATGTATCTCCAGTTCAAATGTATTGTCAATATTTTCTTTAATCAGTTTTTGGCACAAACTAGATAAAGAAATAACATAAAAATAACAACTGCTCTAAAATTATTATAGGTGAAGGAGTGGCTTTGCCTGAATTGCCAGATGCAGCAAACTGTAGGAGCAACAGAACCACCAAGAACTCCCATGCAGAAACTGACGTCTTCTGAAAAGGATAGCCAAGCACCACCTGCAGCGCACACTTTACCTGAACCCAAACCTGGCGTTTCATCCCCTACACCTGCCAGTGAAATAAATTTCCCGTTCCCATCACCATCAAAGAAAGACATCCCAGCTCCAAGCACTGCGCAAACAAGTACAGACTTAAAGCAACCACCAAGTAAAGAGCTCCCCCAACAAAAGGCCCCAGCCCAGGAGAAGCCTACAAAACCTCAGCCAGAAATTGCCAAAGGTACTGCCTCACCAATCAAATCTGCTCCACCACCTCAAGCTGAAGCTCCAAAGCAGGAATCAAGCTTCTTTGGATTCGGATTTGGTAAATCTCAACCTACTCCTGCTAAGACATCTGATTCTATGACTGGGAAACTCTTTGGCTTTGGTGGATTGACTGAGACAACATCACGGTCGCCCTCACCACAATCGGTGGCTAATGTTTCTGGCAAGGTTTTGGGATTTGGATCCTCCATCTTTAGCTCTGCATCTAATCTGATTTCATCAGCTGTTCAGGATGAGCATGCTTCATCTCCGCCAACCTCACGCAAAGGTTCTACAATATCTCAATCCTCTGGCAAGACTTCAACACCACCTACCTCTCGCAAGGGTTCTGCAGCCTCTCAGGCCTCCCTCAAGACGCCTCAAGGAGAACCCAAAGCTCCTGCATTCAAGAAACCAGATGAGAAGAAGACAGAGGAACCTCATCTGACCAAGGCACTACCAGTTACTGCTAAGCAAGAAGATAGTACACAGCCTGATAAAGTGGCAGCACCCTCTGAGCCTCCTTCCAAAGCAACCCCATCCATCTGCCCACTCTGTAAAGTGGAGCTTAATGTGGGCTCAAAGGACCCTCCCAACTACAATACCTGTACTGAGTGCAAGGATGTGGTGTGTAATCTCTGTGGATTTAATCCCATGCCTCACCTTGCAGAGGTAAGTGCTTTTCTTGGTGACTACTTATTAATTTTGAGTGGAATTCTGTTTCTTTTTTAAAGGAAGTATCGTAATGTTTGAAGTTGACCATCTCCTGATTCGGACCATGTAGTATGTGAAATATGGAGCAGCAACATTCAAGTCCCTGCTGTCCAACGTTTACATAGCGCTAGAGGGGGAGAAAAGCCTGGTGCTGAAACCCCCAAATACAAACTTGATTTAGATCATCATAGTCCTGTCCTGCATACCTTGAATCAGGAAGTGTGCAGTACTGATACTCTCTGGATCTAAAAGCTCATGAAGAAGCTCTCTAGAGAATGGTGGCAAATAACCTAGACCATTTATTTTCAGTTCTAAAATGCCAGTTTCAAGTTGTTAACACTTTTCAAAATATTTTACCAGCAGTTCTTTGTTTGAGGGAACAGCTTAATCAAACACAGTTTAATAAGATACAATTGTAGCAAGATCTCATTGCAATCTTGGGAATGCTGATACTAAAATGGCATATGCATACCTAAATTTGACAGTCTAAATTTTAGAACAAGCAGTTTATTTGCAAATTTGCATTGCCTCAAGAGTGTGACCATTTTTTCTTGCTTCTACTTGCTGTTGTCTTGATTTTTCACATAGAAATGACCAGTGGCCTGATTATTTCACCTATTATCTCCAGTTGTTGTGTTCTTCATTGGTGATCTTTTGAGCCTAAGCAAGGAAAGACTTTGAGTGAAGGCAGCCTTAACTGAATGATGTATTGTCGGCTCTGTGGAGGCTTTAGCTTCGGAGTATATCATAATGACTAATAGGCAGAAGCTTTGACTTCCTCAGGTTCATAGTGCCGTCAGACAGAAAATCTGGACTGTTGGGCTTCTCCCTTGTGTGGCTCATAACCTCCATTATGCCCACTCATACTCCAGATGGCTCTCACCATACCACTGTGGCTTTACTTAGGACTTTAAAAAAGCTTATGGTGAGGGCAGGGGGCCAGTAAAAGCATTAGTGGTCAGCAGGGACGGCTGAGTGATTGGCATTCTTTTAAGTGCAGCCAATAGCAGCCAGTGTCATGGCTGTCAACAAAGTCCTGCAAAGCAGTGAAATGATTTTGAACTTCCAAAGCCATACAGTTAGTTGACAGTGCCCTTCCAGACATTTAGACTGAGTTGTCTCTGGAAATAAGCAATAATAATAATTTCACACCAGAAGCAGTACGCGTGCTGCATGAGACACGCTCCTATATTTATCGGTGTAGTCTTTGACGCATGCCATTAGGCATGCCATTACAGACATAAACAGGAAAGCGATGCAGTTTTCATGCTGTAATGTTCAATCTAGGCTAATACACACACGAACAAATGTAGTTTTGACTCTTTGACAAGGTGATAGATAACCCATAAGTAGTTTAATACTGTGAACCCACAAGCATCTCCCTCTCTTTGTATAGCTGTACATTACATGGTGAGAAAGCTAGCAACAATAAATGGATGATACAGACATTTGTATTATGTGAAAAAGCAACGCAAACAGAACATGCTGCTGCCTTGTGGTTGTGTCTGGTGTGAAATAACGAGCGTTGCAAAGTGGTTCTGGTTTACCACACGCACATTGCATCTGATGTGAAATTGCAAATGCATTCTGCAAGTGAAGCACGAAACTGCCATAGGTCAGAGTTGCCCTCCGTTGGCTTTGTATTGTACAATACTGCAAGTATTCATCTTTCTTAAGGGCAATTTCCACAGCTGTGGTCGTCTGAGTGTCTGAAGGCTACACCAACTCTGTAGCCTACAAGAATGATGTAGATCATGCAATTGTTACTTCTTGTTGTTACTATTTAAAATGAGTTTATTAATTTGTTGATATTTTGCTGTCATATATCATTTATATACCAATTGTTAAGGACATCTGGCACAGTGTGGAGGGAGCACCTAATCTGTGTGAGTGGTATTTATTAGCGATGGCACAATACCACATTTTCTTTCCCAAGTTGATGCCAATATTAAAGCCTTAGGTATCGACCAGTACCAATCCTCATATTTTTTCTTTTTTTTTCTAAAAAAAAACAGCTATTTTTATGTGAAGCACTTCACTTCAGATGAGTAAAATAGGCCAATCATGCTCAAAAACTCTGCTACAGCATAGGAAGAAATACATGCTATTTAAAGTGCTATTTCAGGCTAGATTTGTTGCAGAATCATATTTGTTCTTTTTTCCCCCTCCGACATCCAACCCAGCATTTGCTACTGAAAACAACCCAATACCGATACTTGGTATCAGATTGGTGTCAGTTGTAGTATTTATGAGAGATCAGTGCTGAGTGCTGACCATGCTGAAAGAGTCTCTGGGTTTGGACTGGATGTGCCATTATGCAACAGGCTGTGCGAAGATGGCCACAGCTGCAGTACAGCAGTGAGAGGGAGACTCTATTAAAGTGATTGAGGGTTGTGCAACAGCATTAATGTGATAGGATCTGCAGTGGCTGGGATGGGTGGTGGCTGTATGATAGGCCAGTAAGCGGAAGTGAGGTTGAGTAATCAGGCATCTCTCTTGTGCGTGTATGTGTGTTTATGTGTGAACTATTGGAGTAAAGCCCTTGCCCCATCTGCTTGCAGCTTGCACCACAGCCTGTTCTTCGACAACTACAGCCTCATCCACCCTATTCTGTCAGTCACGCTAACAGCAAACATACACAAACACACAGATGTTCTGGGAAAATGTGGCTTCTATTGCATTTTAACTAGTCCTGTTTATTCTACATGGCTGAGTTGGTGTTGTAGTTGATATCAGAATATTGCTCTGTACTGGCAAGTCTAGTACCTTTGTTTTTATGTTCTGAAACACCAAAATAAATTTACACACATTTATACCATGTCTTTCAAACAAAATGCTGCACACTATTTTCAAAGCTTCAATAAATACTTTATTTTGGGATTATTTAGTGAAATTTTGGTAGGCCAGCCACTCCTGGGAAGGTTCACTACTGTTTCAAGTTTTCTCCATTTGTGGATAATGGCCCTCACTGTGGTTTGCTGGAGTCCCAGAGCCTAATGGTTTTGTAACCTTTTCCAGGCTAATAGATTTCAATCACTTAGTTTTGCATCTGTATTTGAATCTCTTTAGAACGTGGCATCATGTGCTGCTTTTTGAGACCATCTAGCCTGCTTCACATTGCCAGACAGGTTCTATTTAAGAGATGTTTAGATTCAGTAGGTCTGGCAGTAATCATGTCTGAGTGTGGATAGTGACATTGAACACAATAATCAGTTGAATCTGGTTAACTGGTTGATTTAGTAGCTAAGGGAGCAATTACATAGGGCCATTTTTCTTCAATAATTGAAATCATCATTTAAAAACAGCATTTTGTGTTTACTTGTGTTATCTTTGTCTGATATTAAAATTAATTTGATGATCTAAAACATTCAAGTGTGATAAATATGCAGAAAATAGAAGAAGCTAGGAAGGGGCAAATACTTTTTCACAGCACTGTATTAGATGAGAACTTAAAATAACACTGAGTTGCTGCAAGTAGAGTGTTGGAAATGGTAAAACAAAGACACTGCCATATGTAAAAATCAACTTTTGTATTATTATTACTTGTATTTATTCTAATATGATTTTTTTTCTGAGCAAATAAATGCTTTAATCATTCAAGTCTTGATACACTAAATTCAGTGCAAACCAATGTACTGCCTTTTGGCTCTTCTCATGGGATTTGTAGGGGCAGGTTCTGTTGAAAAAATAACAAAACACTACAAGTCAAACCAGTCAAAACAGAAAAGATCCATGCGAACAGTTCAAACAGCTTCAATTTTTAAGCAGTCTGAACATTTTATTTCTCACATTGTAATGTTTAATTTTGAAAAATAAATTTGCACAATTAGCTCATATACATAAAGTATATTTCTGCAGTGTTAGGCAGCATGCAGTCCCAAGTAAATGTTCAGTTCAGTTTAAAGCCTGTTGCAGAGCCAGTTATGAATACATTAAGGTACTGTCTAGTGCAGACAAAAAAGGAAAAAATGGATAAAGGATTAAAAACTGATGTAGTTAAGGTCACTTTCTGAACTAATATGGAATATTACTTGTAAACTCTTAACCCAGACACTCTTTCAGAGTGTTTGAGCCTTCTATTGATTTTGGTTCTTCTTCCATCCAAATCCATCTTCGTCCTCCCAGAGGGAAAAACTAGGCTATATCTAGAGCACTTTCCTCTCCCCTTTTATTTGTATCCAGTTGACCAAAGTGTCTGAGCTGAGCATTCCCTGAAAAGAGGTCGCGTTTGTGTAGAAATAGAAATAGCAGTTTTCTTTTGGTGGAGATGCAGTGCTGTTTTCTTTTGTAATGACGTGGGCATGTGTGACTTATCACAGGGTCTTGGCATTTCTTTGATCTCTCGTTTTCACCCAGTAAACACACACTCCATTTGTGACGTCGATGGGACAGTTCAGTGAAGCAGTGAACCTATAAATGACAGCGTGCTTCTACATATCACTTCCACGATAGCTGAAGGCATAACTTCAAAGGCCAGTGTTTGCTGCTGAGATACAAATGTGATGTGCTGTGTTCACATTATCCGGCACACCGCTAGCCAAAAATAGCAGCTGATTTAATCTACCCCAGCTAGAATCTCAGTATGGGCTTGGAGGGAACTGTCATCAGTCTCAAGGGGTTTGTGTATATATTTGGATCGTCCTTTGTAATTCAACCAGTGCCTGACAATACACCGTGTTCTTATTACCAGGTATACACATTCTAAAATACAATAAATATTTTTTTAAATATTTATATATATTTTTTAGATTTATACTAAACATTCCCAACATTTTCAAGATTCCCATTATTTTTACTGTACTATAGAGGTTTATTTATTATAAATATAGTGACCAGCACTGTATACACTGAGATGAAGTTACATATTTAAATATATGAAATTCGAAAAATGATTAATAGAGTAATGAAATTTGAAATTTGAGGGGAGAATGAGGCCTGAAACTCCTTCTCCTTCCATT